GGGATATATAAAAAATATGCTTTCTCCTTTGTACGGGGGCATGTACTTTTTCGTCAGCTGTTGATCCGGATTTTTTAAAAGAAATTTTATCGCCAATCTGATGTGTCATAAACAACGCAAAGCTTTGAAACAGGAATTTCCAGAGTAAAAGATTTAATTATATTGCATTAATACTACATTGGAAATTGCCCACTGTCTGAGGCCTATTTGATATGCACCACGACGTTTTTGGATTTTGCTGTGTTTCCGTCTTCAGCTATTTTGTTATAATTACAGTGATAATTAATTTTTATTCTTCCTGTATCAGCATCGAACCTGGGACCTTTGAATTCTAGGCTACAACTCTAACCGCTATATTTTACCAGCTCATATTGACGCTACAGGATAAATAACGAAAAGCCTGAAGCAATGTCACAGGGAGTAAAATTCACAGATTCGTTACAGAAGACACTTATATATACTTATTCAGTACAGATTAATTAAAACTTTGCGGTGTCAAGCTTGGAACTTTGGTGGTAGGGGACATTTTTGGTTCAACTGCACAGCGACCAGCCAAAGCACAAGGGATAAAATAATAATAACAGTAATAATCAGTATCACTGATTAATAATGCAACCAGAAGCGATCATGATTATTTCAGAAACAGGCTGATTAGATGGCATCACTGGTAAAAAGTTCCAGCGATAATCTACAAACTAAGATTATTCTCACAATAGCACAAGTTTTGAGAACTATATGTCCTATGAAACCAAACGTCTTCTCTAGAACCTACTACATAACGTATATTAGGAACAATGTCCGTCCCTGACTCACGGTGAATATGGTAAGATGGTGAGAAAATTACAATTAAAAAAAATAAGTTGAAATTTCGTCTTATAAACCGAGAAGAGTAAAAATAATTAAACAGAGACACCTTCAAAATTGAGTTGAATCTGAAGACGACAGGCTTCTGGGTTACTATGCCGTGTAATTTCGTTCAAAGTTAACCGACGTTTCAGAGGTGCGTACTGTGTTGTCACTACACGGCGCAATATCCCAGAGGGGTCATCTTCGAACTCGTTGTCGTAAAAACCTGAAGACTCACAAAGTCAATGTTGTCTTTGTTTAAAGTTGAAATGACACCAATAATAATAAACGATGTTAATGGCACTAAATTTCTTGTAGGCCCACTGCTCAGTGAAGTGTAAGACTACTGGCTTCCAGAATAACGCAAAGCGGAAGATGATATATTGATATAAGGAATAACACAACACATGAAGTACAGTAAGCCTGCAATTAACAGAATGAAATATCTTTCCCGCTAATCTTGGTTCGCTATTGCAGGCCGTATGGTTTAGCATAATGCGGAATTCATTGGGAGGGGGGGAGGTCTTTTAAATTCATTGTTAATAACAGAAATAAAACAAGCAAAAAGAAATATTACTACCCTCATACTAAACTAACCTTATTGACCAAAAATTTTAGAAAAAGTAAAGTATTTTTCTGGACCATTGGCGTAGGGGAAATTGGGGAGGGGGTAAGAAGGTTGTAAGTAGGGGCGGAGGGAGTATGTAAGGAATGGCGCACAAGGAGGAGAGGGGAAGTTTCGGAGGGATGGTGATGGGTTGAAAGAGTGGGGAGAGTTATGTAACAACCAACATACAAGGGTGGGATGAGAAACAGGGGGAGGGCGGAAAGGTAGTCTTGCGGTAGGAGGAATAGGGTGGAAGGGGGGCGAATGACCGACCGGAAAGAAATTTCACTTCCAAAAATATAATCGATTTGTAAAATTAGGGTGCAGAAGGAGATGGATGCTGACAGAATCGCTTAATATCGAATATGCAACATTAAAAATTGTTACTAATGCGTTAGAATGTTGTTATAAAAACCACTAGATGCCAGAATGAATAACAGATATTATAATAATTATTATTCATCCATTAGTTTAAGAAAATCATGTCTATGAACATTATATTTCCTTACGAGGTAAAATTTTGCTTCATCATAACCCTGTTTCGAAACTAAAAAGTTATAGTGGAACCACGGTTCCGGATAATTTGACGTCTATACGGTAAGGAGTTTATATAGTGGGTTTATATACGCTTTACAATTGAATAAAGTTTGATTAAGACATTGCTTATTTAACCTGAATTAGTTACGCTTAAGATGGGTCTGTGGTAGCTGAAATATGTTATAAAATTTGTACATTTTAGAGTCTCAATATATCGTGCAAACACCATATCTATACAAGATTTTGATCTAGTAGTACTACATTGAGGATTTGACATCAACATTAAGCCAAACGTTTCCTCCATAAATGTGACAAAGCTTTGATTTTCCTCCTTCTTTAAATCAATGTTAAAATCTCCTGTCAATATTATCGGCATTGTATTAGGATCTTCAGTGGCCATAACTGAAAACATCTTTGTATAATTTCTCAAATGACTCAAAATAAATCTCTTACAATCATCAATATTTTCCCTTGTATGCCGAGTAAACAGATGACGTTTCCTAGGTAACATAACAATGCATACAAGCTGACCATTGTAGTCAGTCCATATTTACAAATTGTTGATATTTCCTAGGTAACCACGTTATACATTTTTCTGTCACATTTTCGTTACACTTTTTCGTAATACTCTTTTGCGGAATGACCCTTCAATATAGACGTATTTCCGTAAAAAATCTCCACTAAAGATATCCACTGTGATTCCGACAATGATGTATCAAACTCCAAAGAATATGTAAGATTTTAAGCTTTCACGGTGACTGAATGTAATGAAGTCTTGTCAGGGATCAGATGTGTAAATTCTGGATTCTTAACCCTATATTCAAATTCACGGCCGATCACCTGAGAAGAATTGCTTGTAAAAAGGATAACTTCATATTGGAGAACCTCGGGAAAAATATGTTTCAATTTGTATTAAATCAGGCTTTATGAATTTGCAGCCACTAAATTCAAGGGCAGAGACATTCCCAACAGTTCGTGAATTTAACCATTACTGTAAAAAAATATAATTTAACATAAGAACATATATATATATATAAGTTAATTTAAATTTGTACGAGTGAAAAGATCCTACAAATAACTGGCATGAAATGTAATGAAATTATTTCATAAGTTTTTTAACAGATAATATTCCTCGAAAGTCAATAAAATATAATGCATCTTGTAAGACAAATAACTAATACGATGCCTAGTGAGAATTAAGTATTGACAAATGTCCTCGACGAACAAATTGTAGTTTCTTTGTTTATTGCTATCTTCTTGATTGAGGCACCATGTCATCTTATACCAGTTATCAACATTTTGGCGTTACGTATTTCCTCCACCTTCAGGGTCGACTTCAATACGGACTACACGGTCTCTCAACCTAGCAGAAGATAACTAACACTCGAAACTCTTAAAACATTTGTAGTCTTAAATATATTTTTAAGGTTCAGTTTGCAAAAGTTGTTCAATTATTTCGGTTAATGTTATAAATATTTCTTTCTGAATTATAAAATACTTAAATATACTGCAGAATTTTATAAGAACTACTGCAGGTTAAAGAAATTATATAACAAAGCGTACTTAATGTAAATATTATGTCAATTATTCTAATAGTCGAAGTATGAATGGATTAAGAATTTTCGTTTTTGACTAACGAAACCAGTCGGTTTCCCGAATTCAAAATTCCAGTTTTGGGGCTGTATATTTACGCACTAGGGCTGCACCATTACAAAGCCCAGTCTGTAGGCTGTAATGCTACGAAGGGAGGGGGCCATTAATGAAACCTGGTCCGACAACTTGCGTATGGTTGTGTCGGGAAGCAGAGCCTCTGTCGCCGACAAATCCTCAGCAGTCGTTTCGCGCTCCACTACAGACCACTGGTTCACTAACCGCCGCGAGAATTTCATATCGTAACGAATTTGGCGGTCATCACTTAACCATTTCCATGGCCATGATATACAATCAGAATTTCCAGTGTCATTATAATGAATAAACCAATGGATTTTGCATTCACTGATGAAACAACATTAAAATTGAATGTAAGGTTTCTGAAAGTTATGATAAAAATGATTTCAATATTTTCCGTATCGTCAAAGTTTCCAAAGTTAATATATACACAATAACAATTAATTATATGTGATACTTTTAAGAAGTGTTAGACTAAAATTCTTAATAATAAAGTAAAGGACCAAATTTTGTTTTCGTAAAAAAGAACTATATATATATATGCTTACAGGAATAGTTGAAAATTTCAACTTATTTTTCCCTGACTAAATTAACTGACCAACCTTACAGCATCTATTTTTAAGAAATAAAAATATTAATTCCTTATGAACTTCGATAAAACTATTTTGATCTTGCAAATACTATTTACATCTTATAATTTCAAATTTTCGTAATGTTTCTAATGTCAGAATATAAATTAAATCGATATCACAGAAATGAAGAACTACGTACAGACATATCTACGTTATATTAACAGACATGTCTCATATATGGAATAATGTTTTACTATAAAACAATCGGACACGACTAAATATATCACAACATATAAACTCTCAAAAACTATAAAAATGTAACAATATAACTAAGCAACTCATGAGCAGGAGAACGAAAAAGGAATGACTAAAACAATCTTAACATTTAAAACACAAAACGTAAATCAAAATGGTACAATTTCATTAACGTATTATCCGAATTATAGGGCATATGAACTACTACTCATGCTAGAAATCATCTCTGTATTAAACTGCATTGAATCCGGAAGTTATTACAACAGTCCGAACTGTGGTCCCGTAAATATTACAAAGAGCACTACAACATAAGTATAACAGGCATTGCATGATCGCATTAACGCAAACGACAGCGCAAATCTTAGTTACAATACGTCTCACTTTGTAAGAAATTCAATACGCGTTTACAAGCCTACGGACATCCGCTACATGTCTGCATGCACGAAACCGTTACTAATTTACGCGGAAAGAAACAATCATAACGTCGCGGAATTATCATCTGCCGAGCCTCTTACCTGTAATTCGTTGACTAGCTTCTCTGTCATCATCTTAGAGTCTGGAGTTGTGGAGCCACCCCCTGAACCTCCATTTCCGCCGCCACCTTGGTTGTTGTTGACACCCGTATTATTCGGGGCGTTGTTGAGACCACCTCCGGCACCTGGGGGTGTGGGTATTCCAGTGGCTGTAGCTGTGGTGCCGTTCCCAACGCCTCCACCTCCGCCCCCGGTAGGCGGCTGTCCCAAGTTGGGCCCCGGGGGCATCGACGGCGGTCCCCTCGCCTGCTGCCAGAAGTCGGGGTTCATCTTGAAGACGGACCTCACCGACTGCTGCTGCACGTCAGCCGACATGGAAGAGGCGTCGGGGATCGGCGTCGCTCGGAGGTCTAAAGGAGTCGTGTAAGTCGTCGTTATGTCCGTAATGTTGACGCGTGTGTGGTCAAAAAACCGTGTTGAATCACAGAAGTAATTGTTGAAGGTGGATGACCGGTTGCTGCTGTTGGTGGTGGTGTTGGTGGCGGTGTTAAGGATCGCGTTGCTCTGTAGATAATCCACGACAAACCGATCTTGTAGACACTGGCTGAAATTAATTTCGTCGTATTTGGGTTTTATAGTGATTGTTGCTTTTATCTGCCAGCAGCAGCTGGGAAAATAATAGTGTGGTTGATCTCGTCTTGACAGTCAACAGTGGATTAGGACAGCAGGATTTTTCCTCAGTAGGATCGTGGTTATGGATTGGGGGAGTTTGTGACCGGTAGAAATATTCCGTAGCGACAGGGAAACTTCTGGAGAAAGTGGGTGGAAAGCGATGCAAAGTATTCTGTTATGTTCTTCGATTAATCCCGTACTGTCTTCTTGTCTGGTAGTTACGTCTTTATTATGTGTTTAACCAATTTTCTTCTCCTGGTAATCTTTTCTCTTGTCCACGACCATTCACATGTAATATCACCACGATGTTTGTCTTAATGAAATGAGTTGACGTGCAAACTTCTTCGACTGATTCGTGTTGTTTCTTTGACGAATCTTATTCTTTTAATCTTTGCTACACTCCTCATTCACTTTTTAAAACGTTCTCAAACATTCACTGCACTTAGTGCACATGGAAGATGTTAATTTGTTTGTATGATTATAGCCACAGTAATTCCTATTTGTTTACACCGTACAGATTGTGCATTCTTCAGTGTGTACATACAATTTTTCAGTATGCAGTTTCTTGAATAAGGTAAAGTTCTAACAAATTGTGAAGGCTTCCTTCAAAAGAATCTTTGTTATTAAATAACAAAAACAAAAACCAGCCTCAGTGGGACAACTGGTATACGCAGAATATAAAAAATCACTCTTCTTTCCCCCTTTACTTCTTCTTCTTTTAATTCTTTCGTTAAGCGGTGAGCGGTTAGGCAGCTGTTTGCTATTGGCTGTCGTCCCTCTAGCGGCGTTCCAGAGAACCACAGTACCAACAGCAGCGGATACCCCCTCAATACATCAACTTGGGAGGAGAAATTCTCGGTCAGACAATCCGGTGTCTTGTAGATATTGTTGTATGGTAATTGTTGTGACACCTGTAAGCACAAAGTGGGAAAAGTTACCATAGGGACACAGTCACATGCCGTTAAATGCGTTATTGCGGTTATCGGCTTGTTGTAACTTTGTTAAGGTAAAGTGCACATAAGAGATTTGTCGTATTAAATTTAAAAAAAAGTTATAAACACGGTAACAGAAGCAGACATTTTTAGGGTTAACTGCTGTCAACAGAATCTGAGTGAAAAAGTTAACAAACGCGTTTTAATTCTGAAACAATATCAATGTACCTCATTCACTTTAAAAACAAAGTAGTTTCCAATTAACTTGATCCAATTTCAAAACAAAGTTCAATTAGTATCATTCAATTTGAAAACAAAGACAAATAACCTGTTTCAACTTCAAAACAGAGTTCAATGAACCTGAATAAATTTCCAGGTTTCAAAAAGTTCTTAAGGATCCTAATAAAATCCAGTAACGTCACAGCATGGCACTAGGTAAGGACACACAGCAAAACAAGACGACACTCAAAAACTTTCTTACGACTTGAACGTCTTGAAAAAGGGGGCAAGATCAGTCATACCTCGTAATGGTGGAAGTCACAAAGTCCACCAAGCACTGTTTACGTGGGAGGTGTTCCTGCGGAGAACTCGACACTGAGACTGATGCGACGTCCCAAGTCAACAAGCAACTTATAACTAAGTACCGCGACGACGACGCTAGGACCCGACCTCCTGCCAGCCAGGAATGTTTAGGAATAATACTTCCTGAATCAGAGGGTCGAGACGACGACGACGACGAACGCCTAGAGAAACGAGGACGACGCCCCCCTCTCCAGAAAACGACGCCCGACGTCTCCGCGAGCGTCACACAAACTGACGAAGCAAAAGGAAACTCGCCTTCTCATTCCTTCTCTCTCCTCTTCCTCCTGACGTAGCACAAGGAAGAGAAGGGCGGAAGGAAAAGGCACTGGGAGTCCTCCAGAGAGAGAAAATATTTTCCTCTTTCTCTCTCTTAGACGCTGCGCGGTGCAACCCCTATTCTCAAATCTTTTCTCTTTTCATCCTGCCCCTCACCCTTCCTACATATACTTTCCTTACTTGTACTTGCTTGTGCGCAGACGTTTACGATGCGTCGGCAAGACTTGGCTGCTACGGCGGCGTCGTTTTCTCCACGACGCTTGCACCCTTCCACGCTCTAACTCCCCTCCTTTCTCATCCCTCCAACACCCCTCCTTATGCAATCCCTCCTACCTTCCTTCCCTAGAGGGATAAAAAACCCTCACTTGCCTTGCCTTCATCTATAGCAGGGAATAATTTTTTACCCTCTCCTCCCCCTTTGGCTGCCGAGATGTGAGTCGAGGTAAGGGTGAAAGTGGGGAGACGAAAAGAAGGGGGGAACGTTGTGTGAAGGGAAAAGACCACTGCCACGGGGGAAGGATGAGGAGGAGTACGGCGTCTGGGGTTAGGGAGACGCCGAACCGTGGCCACGACGACTCTGGCCAGAGGGCGCTCAAGAAAAACGAAAACAAACCTAAGGTGGCTCACTCCACACGGAGCATCCACTGCATTCATAAGCACGTCGCAGAGAAAGCTACATCCTCAAAGAACACTATTCTTTACTTACGCACGCATTTGTGGTTTACTGAACGACGCTGTTAGAAGCTCTGACAAAATAGCGCCGACGTGCGTATGTCGGCCTATGTGAATATGTATGCGTGTGTGTGTTCGAACTTAGGCAAATTAAGCTGTCAGACCGGTTTCCACTACGTAACTTATACAGAATGCCAACTATACAATACTGTAACTTCGCTGTGAGTGGAGTAGGTGTGGAACTAACTCTGTGATAGCAGAACCTCACGATACAACACCACCAGTAACGTCATTGGACTAGAAAATAAGCCTGCTTAATCAATGACCTATATATTTATATATAAACTATCAAAATGTTATCATCCACTGTCACAGTAAGCGTGATATATTTTTAATTTATCATTCAATGGTCTTAAATTTGTATGTACCTAATGAAATACATGACTTAGATACATTTTTTGGTTAGCGCAGTTTCCTAGCTATTTATTCAAACTCCATATTTACTAATGATTCTATAAAGGCCGATTCCTTACACAAACATTATAGTGGACGGTGCCCATTGTTTGAAGTATATTTGACATAAACGAGTTTTCGATTTTTTTTATATACTATCGTCTTCAAGCCCATTTGTGGGCCACCCCGATGATCTAGTGGTCAGCGTACTGTCACGTGTAATGAAAATCAATGGACCTGAAGATAAGAGAAAAACCAACTCCCGAAACGTCATCAAATGTAGTACTTCAGAAAATGGATAATGTCCAACATAAAATTCCTATAGGGTGCGTTTCTGACACTATATTAAATTACAGAACAATAATAAGGGAGAATTAGTTAATTCTTAGGCAGCCATAGCATGAAAGGAAGTGAATTTATTATGTCTGTTATCGTCTTAGAAATGTGACAACATTCAAAAGAATGTACTCACTCTCATGAGGAGTCCTTTCCTTCGGCATTTATCCTTGATGCTGATAAACCCCATCCACCAGATAATACTATTGGCTAAGTATTTTATCTGAAGTTAAAATACGAATTCGGATAAAATGTCAACGATTATCCATTCATCATTCATTATCATGATAATGTCAATTTCATTTGATGTTCTGCAGTTTCGACAGATTCGTCAACCCTTTAAAGCCTAATGACAACTATGCATATTACCTACGTTAACCCTTTAAAGCCTAGTGGTAACTATATGAACCACTTTCCGTCAAAAATTCTTCATATTTACCAGCAATGTATTTATGGGTTTTATATGATTTTCACTGCTATTTATGGGTTTTGTATGATTTTCGCTGCAAACAAGGATTATTTTCTCAAACAGCATCAACCAAATCATCTTATTAATAATGAAATGTGGAGTTTTCTTTGCGGTACGGACTGAATTATTAGATATTGCTTAGATGAGCTTCGGTTTCATAGGGGTAATGACATAAACATGTAATCACACTTTCAATAATATTGTGCTATTAACGAACGGTAACATCACAGAAACAAACGTGGCGAATCCAGATCGGCAGGAAGTCTCCTTCTGCTGTGACTCACCCGTTGAGGGGGTGGAAGAGACTGGACCCAGTCACTACAGGATCTGCGGGCAGTTTTCCAACACAGCACTGACATAAACGGAAGGGACGCGTTCGAAACAAAAGTGTCATTATCGCTACATCACTTTCTGCATTAGTTTCTCTAGCATACAGCTACGTTTAACTACGTAACCAAGAAACAAAGACCACAGCGCCTAGCCTTCCGAAAACTGTTCATATTCAGCGGATCAATAAATTCATCACAGTCTTCTCTAAGTCCGGCACTGAACCCTGTTCTGAGCCAACTCAATCCAGTACTCATCTTCACAACCTTTCACTCAGAAGGCCAAACTAATATTAACCTCCCATATACTAATAGATACTCAAATGGTATCTTCTCCTCTGTATTTCAACACAAATATTGTATGTATTTATTGTTTCATTAGTTTTCCTTCTATCCCATTCTACTTGAATTAATCACTTCAACTTAATTAGCTTAAAACTATAAACTGCAAAGTCCTAAATTAAGAAAACTTTGTATCCACCTGTTATATAAGCCCATCTAATGACATTTTAATAAACATTAAAATGTTGTTTACCAATTTAATGACGCTGTATCTTCTTGTTAAGATTACTTGGGGTCGAATGGGAAGTGATCGGATGGCTATAAATTTTGATTTCAGATGGAAACAAAATTCACACGCGATATTTCTTAAAATAAACAATTTAGCTTTTATTTATCCTTCTGTGCTAATTATAGTAACTTGTAAACGGTGGTTTGTAGGTGACAACGGCGTCTGTATCCGGGATAAGACGATATCGGAGCATTGGCAGAAGCTGTCTTTGAAAAGGGGGTAGCTTATGCCTATTTGGCTCTATTATTTGTAGTCCACTCAATTCACAAATAAGTTATTTGTGGTTATCAATATCTAAGCAGTCTGTATGATCATTTAATGCAGAGACACGTTTATTATTCAAAAGGCAGAAGAACTAATCTACAAGTAACAAAACATGAGCCAAATTTCGTTATATTTTATTAAATGTTCCAAATAAATGTTGCACATATGGTAAGGTTCACGTAAAAATAATTTAGTATCTGGTAAAACAAACTGAAGGATCAACATCTCCAATATAATTTAATACAATTTTATTCTGCTCAATTACCACCATGTATTTATTAAATTAGTTACACCTAATAAGATATATAAATTCAACAAGTCCACAGTTAAAAGACTAATAATTATGTTATTTCTGCACGTGGTTCGGCACATTGTGCTATAAGAGGACAATCAACGATCCAGAATAAGCAATTTACAAAAAATAGATTTTGCATTATAAAGCCCTGACTTGTTCCAGCAGTGCCAAGTTTTTAAAGAAGAATAAATTACTTCTTTTGTCTGTATATTTCCATGGCAACTCACTAATTTTATTACCTGAGCATTACAGTAAAATTTAATTTAAAACACAGAACAACCAATTTTCTAAACAAGACAGGTCAATATCGTTCTCGACCACTGAAGGGTTATCTGCGTTCAAAACTAAATTAACACTTTTGAAGTAAACATTTATTTTGTTAATCACGTAAATGCTGTAGTGTAATCCGCGTGCCTTGAAACACAGTAAAACATTAGGACTAAGTTGAGAGAACAACATAGATAATATGGAACTACATGGATCTGAAGATAAGTAAAATCACGTAATTTAGGTTGAATTACTCAAAATACGAATCACTTCGAATGAAGGCGCAGGAAATGACATGTAGGCCTCCATTAAGCATAGGAACCTTGGGCGATAAATCGCCATCTCGCCTAGAAATTAGATCATGTAGCTTAGTTTTTGAGTGGGTATAATTTTTAATTTTCGTTTTACTATTTCATTGCATAAAATGCATTTACGTTAGAGATATCTCTATCCATGCGTTAAGTCCGC